CTGAAAATGGTGGAAAAGGACCAAGATGGGTAAGTGGGAATGGTGGGTGATGGAAGAGACCTGGGGCCAGATCACCTGTAAGGAAGTGATCTAGAGCCATCATTCCCCCTGTGGAGAGGTGTCCGGTCTGTCCTGCACGGTCTGCAGCTGCCCCTCAGGCAGGCAGGGGATTCAGCAGAGAAGCCAACAGTCAGGGGCCTCACCCCGACCTCTCTGGCTGACTACCCCGAGCTCTAGGAAGGTAATTTAGCGACTGTCCGCTTTCATTAGCCTGCTCGTTAACTTTTCCCAATTGATTTTTCGGGGCTTTTGATCTAATGCTTGCACAAACGACACCCCAGCAGCTCTCAGGGGGGCTCCCACTCCTGCCCCCAGCTTGTTAGAATGCAGCTGACTGGGATCCCTGGGTGGTGCAGCGGTTTGGCGCCTGCCTTTGGCCCAGGGCGCGATCCTGGAGACCCGGGATTGAATCCCACGTCAGGCTCCTGGTGCATGGAGCCTGCTTCTCCCTCTGCCTGTGTCTCTGCCTCTCTCTCTCTCTCTCTCTCTCTCTGTGACTATCATAAATAAATTAAAAAATAAATAAATAAAAAAGAATGCAGCCGACTAGAGCCCTCAGTGGGACTTGGCTGGTGTCATGTGCTCCCATGGTCAGGTGCCTTCTTGGGAAGCCTGGCTCACATCCAGGAGGGGTCTGGCAGTGACAGGGCTGAGAGCCGGCACTGATGGGGGGCACATGACCCTTCTCCCACAGGGGCCGCAAACTGACACCTCAGGGACAGAGGGATCTGGACAGAATCGCCGGACAGGTGAGGCCTGGGTGTGGGCCAGGACTGGTGCCTTAGTCACTGCCTGGGCATTTTCAGAGCCCAGGCTTTGTTAGAGTTTCCTCCCCTGGAGGGCATGGCCTGGGCTGGTGGGGGTCAGAGAGGGCTCTCTGGGGTGGGGAGTGGGGGGCAGGAGAAAACATTTCTGACTTCCTGCCAGCGCTGGTTGAAAATGTGGGTGCCGGAGTGAGGGGACCCCAAGCCTGAGGTGCAGCCGGGTTGGTTTCTCATGCAGGGCATGTTTCTGCACACACAACTCCCTCTTCCCAGGTCAGCCTTCTTAGGATTCTGGCTGCAGTGTTTCCTCCTATTTTTCATGCATACTGAGCACCAGATGGGACGGCTGTGGAGAGGGGGACGCAAGCCAGCTCAGAACTCGGGTCTCCATCCACATGACTGACTGGCTGGACACCTTGGGGCAGAGTCCATTTGCCTGGAGCCACCACCGTCTGTAGAGCGGTCTGTCCTTGCCCGCATCAGAGGGTGGTAGTGAGGGCTCAGTGAGCTACAGCAGCAGGAGCCCCCAGGCTTTCTTTATGTTAACTCAGACCTCCTAGGAGCTCTGGAGGGGGCTCAGTCACTTAGTCAAGTAGCAAGAGAGAATAGAAGGTGTCAGCACCCTGGGAGTCCCAAGGGTGGCCTGGAAGGAACCAGTGAACTGTGCCAGGGCAGGGCCGGGCCTTACACAAACACCCCTGTGGTGACAGGGCAATGGGTGTTGGAATCCCCCTAATATGCTCAAGTCCCAGTTGACACTTCTGTAAAATGAGGGAGTACCTGAGGTGGTAGGGATCCAGGGATCCGATTGGCTGAACACCCGTCAGGCCACGAATCCAGTTGCCTGGTGTCCCTTGGATAGTGAGGAGGTGCTCCGAAGTGCCGAACTCCAACCTCACAGCTGATCTTAATTACTCTCCCATCTTTTCTTGCAGGTGGCAGCTGCCAACAAGAAGCATTAGAACAAATGCTGGGTTAATAAATTGCCTCATTCGTAGTGCTGGTCCCAGTCTCTTGATTGGCTGGTCCTCTTCAGTTTGGAGGCCCAAGGAGGGAGCACTGCAGCACTGCGCCACACTTCCTTCCCTCGTGAAAGGGGAGCTAGGGGGCCCCTGGGTGGCTGCAGCACCAATAGCCATTAAAACCCAAGGCCCAGCCTTGCCAGTTCAAGCACTTCTCCCCCAACCTGGGTGGCTCCAGACCTGGAGGCTCTTGCCCCTCCTCCCACATCCTGCCTTTGCAGTTTTCAGATGAGAAACTGAAAGGAGTGACTGTGAACCAGGGCCCCATCTGGGGCCTGGGCTGCAGAAGTGGCACTCTGCCCCCTGCTGGAACAAAGCAGGAGGGGCAGATGGCTTCTTCCCTGCCAGCCTTCACTCCTGGCATCTCCTTGAGTGCTTCCTGACCAAGATGCACCTTGTGTGCAAGATGACCTGTGTGCACCTTTCATTGGACAACACAAGTGGTCCTGCCCCAGAGCCAGGATGGGGTGGCATTTGCACCCACACCCACCACCACCACTACTACCTGGATGGAGGGGTGTGCGAGGTTCCTGCACTGAGGTTGAGCTGGGCACCACTGCTTCTACAGTCCTGCATGGTGATTGCCTTTTGGTGCCAATGGGTTGGAGTTCTACCTGTGATTGGACCTTTGGTAGGGGTGGGAGATCTGAAGGACACCAAGTGGGCATGTGCCAGACCCCAGAAAGCTGAGCCTGAGCTGGTTTGGCCAGGGTCTCCAGATATCCCATAGCCTAGGAGATTGGACCCATTTGCTTCCCGTGTGAAGCCTCCCTGAGCTTTGAACTCCAGTGACTCAAGTTAACTTCCAGCTCTGACCCTAATGCTCTGCAGTCTTGAGCAACTTAATCGCCCTCAGCTTTCCATTCCTTGTCTTTATCACTCCTGAGGGATCTTACAGAGGCCATATATAGATAGGGCCTGACCAGCTCCTTCGGTTGAGGATGGAAAAATCAAGAGTCCCGTATTCGGTGGGGGGTGAAGCTATCATCCCTCCCAGCTCAGGAGTCCATGCTGGAAGAGGTGCACTGAACAGCCTACCAGGTGCAAGGCACTGAGTAAACCTCACTTGATACACTAGGCAACCCTGTGAAGATGCCAAAAAGCACCTGTAGTTTGGTTATAGGGCAAGTCAGTCACAGATTGGGTGAATTGCCTAGACACTACAACTAGGGGATGGCAAAGCAGGTATTTGAGCTTGGGCACTGTCTCCAGCACTGGGCCGAGCCACTGGGGTTCTTCCCTTGATAGGAAGGGAAATGAGGAAGAAAGCCCAGAAGGTTACATTCCCAGGCATGGCCTCAGCTGGTCATTCCCTGTTTCCCTTGTCAACTGAGGATGAAGACATGTCATAGAGTGGACATGAGGACACAATGCAGCGAGTCCAAGTGCCTGCTTGGCACCAGATGGCAGCGGTGCTGGGTAAGTGGCAGGTGGACTCCCCCCCAAACAGGCCAAGCCGGCCTGAGGACCTTCTATCCAGCAGCTGTGCCCCTGCAGCCACTGGGGGGCGGTCGAGGGCCTGGAAACCAGTTCAGATGGAGGTGAATTCCTAGGGCTGCAGTTCTGTGCTGAGTTTCTTCCTAGGTAGGGGGTCACAAGGAGAAGCTGAAGCACAGAGGGGCTGTTGGCCTGCCACAGAGCAAGGATTGCAACTGAGCACCTGGGTCCCCGGAGGGAAGGGAGCAGGGCCGCCAGGCCAGAGAAGGGTGACGATGTCCTAGGAGCTGCAACAAGCTCACTGTCCAGGACACCTGGGTGGCTCAGCAGTTTAGCACCTGCCTTCGGCCCAGTATGTGATCCTGGAGTCCCGGGGTTTAGTCCCACATCAGGTTCCCTGCATGGAGCATGCTTCTCTGCCTGTCTCTGTCTTTCAATAAATAAAATCATTAAAAAAAAAACAAAGCCTCACTGTCCTATTCTTGCAGCCTCACAGAAGGACAAGGGGGTTCCAGGGGGATTGTGCCCAGATTACAGGAGAAGAAACCTAGGCCCAGATGACCAGTCAGTTGGCAGAGCTGAGATCCAAATCCAGGAATCACAAACTTGTGGCCCATGCTCCTCCACGTGGGTGACAGTTGCACTTTTTTAAAAACTTATGAAATGCTTCAAGTATGCAAAACCGTTACCATTCCTGTGAGAAAAACCCGTGGACACACTACCCAGCTTGAAGAAGTAAAACAAGACCTAAAACCAAGATGGGCAAAGCCCTCTATCCCTCCCAGTCCCAGCCCTTCCTGCCCCCCAAGAAGGAACCCCTCTCAGGAATTGGATGTCACTCCCCCGCACAGTTCACACCTCAAGTACAGGTGCACGTGTCCCTAACGGCACCCGATGTCGTTTCGCCTTTTGGAAACAAGTCAACTGTTGCATACTACATGTTTTTTGTCATTTTCATGCTGTTTCTGAGATGCAGCCATGTTGACAAGTAGAGCTCAGCTTCTTCCTCTGCGGAGTGCTACTCCATGGGCTGCCTACATCACAATGTGTGCATCCCGTCTCCCATACATGGACTCTGTTTCCACTTTTGCTACTAAAAATGTCCCTGCAGTAAAATTTTTTCCTAAGTGTCTCCTTATGTGTGAGCGTGATGGTCTTGTCGACTGCTCACAAACATCTCAACAATCTCTTGTAATTCCCCACCCCCACTCCTCGGACTCAGTTTCCTTCCACATGACCTACTACAATGATGCTCCAAGGTATGTGGGCACATGTAAGTGACTTTGAATCTCTGCTCCACCACTCCCAGGCTGTATGACACCAGGCAAGCAACGGCATCTCTCTGGGCCCATTTAATCTGTACAGTGGGGTGGGGCCTACCTTGCCCACTTGTGGGGAGGCTGACTTGCGTCAAGAACCCTCCGTGGCTCTAACTTCCCAGGTGCTGGGAACATCATCTCATGTTACAACACCGGAGTTATTCTCATCCTCGTCTCTAAATGCTAAGGCTGGGGTGCCCAGCTGGCTCAGTCAGTAGAGCTGGTGACTCTTGACCTTGGGGTTGTGAGTTTGAGCCCCCCGTTGAGTGTAGAGATTACTTAAAAATTTTTTTTTAATTTTATTTATTCATGAGAGACACAGAGAGAGAGACAGAAACACAGGCAGAGGGAGAAGCAGGCTCATGCAGGGAGCCCGACATGGGACTCAGTCCGGGGACTCCAGGATCAGGCTGTGGGCCAAGGGCAGGCACCAAACCACTGAGCCACCCAGGCATCCCACTTTAAAATTTTTGTTCAAAAACTTTAATGCCAAGGCTCAGAACAGGAAGCCACCCCTAGTCATAGAGCTGGTCGACCTGCCTCATTCTTTTCCTCATGAGCATTAATAGTAACCACTTTTTACTGAGCAGCTACTATGGGCTGGGCCCTGTGTTCAGAGCTTTGCATGCACAACCTCTTTGAATCCTGGGTTCCAGCACCAAGAAGTGAGGACATGGAGGCTAAGAGAGGAGATAAGCTTTGCCTACAGCCAGTGAGGAGCGGAGACCAGGCTCAGAAGCTCCGGGCCGGCAGATCACCAGCAGGCAAGAGACACCTCAGACTTTGGCTCCTTCAGGCTTCCTTCCCAGGGCTGGCCTGTGAGGAGCCAGGCCTCGGGCTGGTCTCTTTCCCCCACCCAGCAACCTCCCCTCAGGGGAATTGTGGCCACAGGTGCAGGGAGCGGTTTCTCTCCACTCCGGGCCTGAAGCACAGTGACAGGGGCTGCCCCCCCTCCTCCAGCCCACAGCTGAAGGGGCCCAGCCGTGGGGCCATTGGAGCCCATCTCCGGCAGGGCTGGGCAGGAAGTGGGGCGGGGTTTCGGGGCAGCCGAGGTGGAATCTGGTACCCCAGGACTGCTGCTCCCCAGACCAACCACCCCACTGGGAAAGATGCCTGGGGGTCCCGGACTCCTCCAAGCGCTGTGTGCCACCACCTTTCTCCTCTTCCTAATCTCTGCTGGTGGCCTGGGTACGTGGCTAACAGGCTGGTGCTGGGAGGTGGGGGCTGGTGGGGCGGGGAGGACTGAGGAGGCTGGAGAGAGGGCAGAGGCAGAGACGAAGTCACTGGGAGTGGAAGTGAAGAGCCAGCAGGTGTAGGGGGGTGCCGGGAAAGCCCCTAAAGAAACTGCATCCACCTGCTTGACCATCCTGAGCAGGCCGCAGGTCCGAGGGGAGGCTGCAGGGAATTCGGCAAAGTTGAAGGGGTGTCCACAGCCACATGGACGGAGAACAGGGCGACAGACGACTTCCCCACCCCCTCATCCCCACAGGTCAAAATAAGGAACTAAGGTTGCCCTTGACTGAGCTCCAGAGCTGGGGGCAGGAAGGGGACTTGGGGGTAGCACTCAGCTTCAGAGAGAAGAAACAGCTTTCTCCTTCTTTGCCTTGAATCTCCGTCACCCCACTGTGTAGGGAACCCCTTCTCAGTGCTGGGGAAGGGGGCTCCTCATCAAGACACTGCCCTCCTGGGGCTTCCTCCCCACTTCCACCCCATACAATGCCAGCTGGTGGGGCTGTGACTGTCCGGGTTACACACTGGGAGTGGGGCCGGGGATTGGCTCCCACGCCCCTAAGGTTGCTGCTTCTTTCTCCACCTCTTCCTCCTCCTCTCTTCCTCACCTCCCACCTCCTCCCTCCAAAAGAAGCAGAGCCAGCCAGGTGGGTGGGCCGGCCTGGGGGACTGGGAGCTGGGGTTTCCCCAGCAGCCAACCGCCTCGCTGAGGCCCTCCCCTAACCCCCCAACCCTTCGCACACCCAGTTGCCAACCTAACTCACTCCTGGCCCCCAGGTCTACACACACAAGTTACAAAGAACAAGACGGGTTTGAGGTCACAGGGCAAGCAAGGTAGGCCCAAAGGCTCAGACTTTGAGATGCTAGCCTCTCTTGCTGCCCTGGTGATGCCAGGCAATCAACGCGTCCTCCTTGGGCCTTAGCTGTCCCACCTACAAAATGGGATAATGAGAGAACCTACCTCGAAGGTGTTAGTGAAGATTACACCAGATAAAGTGCCAGGTGCCAGGAGGGGCTGGGGGCTGGGAAAGCGAGCCTGGAAGGCCTTCAGGAGGAGGAGGTGATGCCCAGACTGATCCTGGAGGTTGCCACCTGGTCCAGGGCACTCCTACTGCAAGGAAATCAAATATCCAAATGCCACTGAGTTCTCTGGAGGCAAAGGACAGAGCACAGGCAGGGAGGGTGGCAAGAGATGGCGCTGGTGAGGTGAGTGGGGACCCCCCGCAGGGGTGTGTCACCACCCCAAGTTGTCTCACACTCCTCCTCAGGAGTGTCTTCAACACCCTCCACACATACACACACACAAGCGCCCAGGGGTGCTGCTGCTGCAGGGGCCAGAGCTGGGGCCCATCCACAGTCCCTGTCTCCTCCTCTCCACAGGCCCCGGGAGCCAGGCCCTGTGGGTGGACGGGGGCCCCCCATCGATGACGGTGAGCCTGGGGGAAACAGCCCGCCTCCAGTGCCTGCATAACCGCAGCAGGCTGTCCAGCAAGCTCAACATCACGTGGTGGCGCGTCCTCCAAGGCAACGCCACCTGGCCCGACATCTTCCTGAGCTACGGCAAAGGCCCCAATGGCGAGCTGACCATCGACACTGTGAACAAGAGCCACATGGGCATGTACAGATGCCAGGTGGAGGAGAAAGATCTCAACCAAAAAGTCCTCAGCTCCCAGCAGTCCTGCGGCACCTACCTCCGCGTGCGCGGTGAGTGCCAGCCCTGGTGTGGCTCCCAGGCCACCACGATGGGGCTGTGGACATCAGAGGGTGGGGACAGGACTGGGAGGCCAGGAGGGTTGGGGCGGGGAGGCACCAGTGCTCTGAGCGGCACCCCCTCCTCCCAGAGCGGCTCCCCAGACCCTTCCTGGACATGGGAGAGGGTACCAAGAACAACATCATCACAGCCGAGGGCATCATCCTGCTGTTCTGCGCCGTGGTGCCTGGGACCCTGCTGCTGTTCAGGGTGAGCCCCCCAGTGGACCGGGACCCTCTGACGCTGAGGTCCCCTCCTAGCATGGGAGGGTGACAGCCCCATCCCAAGGCTGATGGGCAAATGAATTAGCATCATGACAGGATTTTAAAGGGGGCAGGAGGGACTCAGTGGGTGGCTCAGGACTCAGTGGGTGGCCTTTGCCTCAGGGCGTGATCCCAGCGTCCTGGGATCGAGTCCCACCTCAGGCTCCCTGCAAGGAGCCTGCTTCTCCCTCTGCCTGTGTTTCTGCCTCTGTCTCTCTCTCTCTCTCTCTCTCTCTGTCTTTCATGAATAAATAAATAAAATCTTTAAAAAATAAATAAATAAAGGGGGCAGGGCCCAGAGGGGCCTCCTCACCCAGTCTCCCCTCAGGGTTGTCCTCATAACCCCCCAAGCCCCCCTCACCCAGCCATGGTGTCTTACTCTTCCCCCCCTCCCAACCAGGAGCACAGGAGCCCTCCAGAGGTAGCCAGGGAAGAGGGGGGCTGGCTGTCCTCCTGGAGTCTCTGACCTGCACCAGCCCCGCCTTAGGCCACAGGACAGCCACTGCCATTTCTATGATAGTTGTGGCTCGTGCAAGAGCAGTAAGGCAGTAGAGACAGCCAGGGGGACACGGGCTTGGATCCAGAGACACCTGCCACTCACCCACTATGTGGCTTTGGCCATACCTTACCTCCTCTGGTCAAGCACCTCTCAGCATCCAGGAGGTTCAGCAAACATCTTCTCCTCCCACCTCCCCTCACTGTGGCTCCCAATCCCTCCCTCCCAGAAACGATGGCAAAATATGAAGTTTGGGGTGGACGCCCAGGATGACTATGAAGATGAAAACCTTTATGAGGTGAGTGGGCGAGTGGGGACAGGTTAGGGGCGGGTGCGTTGGGGCTCTCATGGGGGTCCTTCCCGGGGTCATGTGGGGCCGTGGGTCTGGGCATGAGGGTGCTGAGCCCCACCACCGTGTGTCCACGCCCAGGGCCTGAATCTGGATGACTGCTCCATGTACGAGGACATCTCCCGGGGCCTCCAGGGCACCTACCAGGACGTGGGAAGCCTCCACATTGGAGACGGGGATGTCCAGCTGGAGAAGCCGTGACCCTGCAGGGTGACCCTGTGGGCTGCCCTCTCCTGCTGTGTTGCCAGCTCTGGTGTCCCCCCACCCCTTCCTGTTCTCTTTTCATAATCTTTCCTGGAAGTGTCCTGACTCAACTTCTCCCTTGAGGGTGTATGCTCTTCTTCCCTTTAGACTGTCCTCATCCCCTCCCCATGCCCCAATTCAGCCTCCTCCTGCTGCTTTTCCCAGCCAACCCCCCCAACACCCAGCGGGTAATGAGCCCTTAATCGCTGCCTCTAGGGGAGCTGATTGTAGAGCCTCGTTAGTGTCACCTCCCCCTCCCTGCTCTGTCATGGCCACTTAGTGATAATAAATCCTTCCCAACTGCAGACCTTGGCAGGAGTCATGGATCTCATGGGGATGCTCCCCTCTGGTGGGACCCAGGAGTCCAGGCCCCCAGCCCCCTTCTCTCTCAGACCCAGGATTCTGGGCCCGCAGCCCCTGCCCACTCCCCACAACGGAGGGCCAGGTAGCCAGTCTTAGCTGCTCTCTGAGAGAAATAGGAAGTATTTGGGGGAGGCTCTCACCCCAGGCTACGCCCCTGAGCAGGGAGGGGACACAGAAAGGAGCCAGGTGGCCACATTTATGTGCATTTCAGTCCCACGAAGAACACAGGGCCTGTAACAAACAGGTTCTGACTACAGCCAGGCACACCAGTTCTGCGGGACTGGGCTTGTAGCAGGGGGGTCTGGACAGTCTGTGGCTTTCACCTGCGGATGGTGGGGAGCCCCGGGGCGGGGGAGGCGACATAGGCACAGGGATGCAGGGTTCCTGGGACAGGCGAGAGAGGCTGAGACAAGAGAGACAGTGACGGACACACAGAGCCAAGTGAAGAGAGGGACAATGAGGGGACAGGGAATCAGGGAGAGACAGAGATACGGGGAAGAGAGAAAGCAGGAGACAGAGAAAGGAAAAAGGGTCCATAGACAAGTGGTCATGGAGAGGCTGACCCCTGGGACTCTAGAGAAAGCAATCGTCGGGGGAGCGACCGACGTGGCCATGTCTCCCCCGGGGATGGGAAGACGGGAGAAGCGACGCTGGGGAGGGGCCGCGCGGAGAAGCAGGGCCCGGCAGCGGGAGGGAGAAAGCGCCGCGGACAGCAACGCCGCACAGCGCGGCGGAGCAGGAGCGGGCCCGAGCGCCGAGCGCCGGGCGGGACGCGGACGAGGCTGCCGCGCGCCGGCCCCGCCCCGCCCCGCCCCGCCGAGGCGACGCGGACCGCCGCAGGGGCGAGAGCCCGACCCCAGCCCCGCGGACCGACCGACCGACCGACCGACCGACCGACGGACAAAGCCCGGGCGGGGCCGGGAGGGGCCGGGAGGGGCCGGGCGGGGCCGGGGCCGGGGCGGGGCCGGGGCCGGCGGGTCCCCGGGCCGAGCGGGGAAAGGAGGGGCCGCGCGGGCGGCGAGAGAAGGGGAAGGAAGCGGAGGTGCCGGGCGGGCGCGGGGCGCGGGCAGGAAGCGGGGAGGGGCGGCGGGGCGGGGGCCTCCGGAAAAACGCCCCGACTTCCTGCCCCGCCAGAGCCAGGAAGCGGGAGCCGGGACGCAGGGCCCGGGATCGCTGAGCCCGACCTCGGGCGCCCCGCCGGTCACCTCCCCGCGAGGACTCCAGGTACACGGTCCCTGGCCCCGCCCGGCCTCCCGCCCCTTGGCCGCCGGGGGAAGTGGGGAGGAGGAGGGAGGGGGCCGGGGCGCTGCCGGCAGCGCAGGGGCCTCCTAGCGCCGCTCACAGCCTGCGGCCGCCCCTCCCTGGGCCTCAGTTTCCCCATCTGTCAAAGGGGGGCAAAGGGAAGGGAACTAATACCTGCCGAGTGCCCAGTAAGTGGGGATGAAGGGTGCGAGGCCGGAGTCGAGGCCTCCCAACTGTCCAGCAGAGGACGGATGATCACTCCCATTGTACGGGTGGGGAAACTGAGGCTCGGGGAGGGGAACCGGCTTGTCCCAGGCTACACACACACACACCTCGGGGCCGAGTGGTGTTGGGATTTGAACTTGCAGGTGCTTTTGAAGCACCGTCCTCCCACCCCACATGCTTCAGGGCCCCCGAGAAAAGAAAAACGTCAATAACCACGCCGTAGGCCGCTGGGAATGAAGCTGAAAGTTGCAGAGCGCGTTTGAAAGCATTTCTGGAAAGCTCTTTTTCAGGGCCATTAATTATACCCTGAGAGATGGGCTGTAGGGAAGGGAGCTGGAGATCTTCCCCCATTGTACAGGTGGGAAGACTGAGGCTCGGAAAGAATTACTCTTTCCAGGTTACTTAGGCTCGCTGCAAGTCAGCGGGAAGGGTACGCCGGAACCCAGTTTTGCTTCTCAGCCCGAGCAGAAAGCGTGCTGCCGGGGCGGTGGGGGTGCCGGGGCAATTAGCGTACGCCTTGGGAATTCAGCTGGTGAGGAAGTTAGGGAGTTAGGGGTCAGGAAGGCAACCCAGATGGAGGGGGGAACCCAGTCCGAAGACTGAGGGCCAGGGGCGACCAGGAGATCGCGGACTGAGCCTGGACCGGGGAGCTGGAACCGCTCTCCAGTCCGGCTGGGGGGCGGGGGCAGGGGGCGGGGCGCGGTAGAGTGACAGAGGCAGTCGAGATACGGAAACGCCAGCCCTCCAAGGCAGGCCAGAGCGGCCCTATCTGGCCAGCGTGGCGCAGCGGAGAGCTAGAGCGGCCGGCGGGAGGAGTAGAGTCGCCGGGGCCGGAGCCTGGCAGGAGCTGGCCTAGAGCGGCCGGCGGGAGGAGTGGAGCTGGAGGCAAAGGTAGACGCTGGGGCTGCTAGAGCGACTCGGCGGCGGGGGTGGGGGGACCCCGGAGCCGGCGCGCAGAGGCTTCGGTTGTGGAGGCTGCTGTGGATTTTCCTACGACCGGGAGCAGGTGAGGGACGCGGCCCCCGGCGGGCGTCAGACCCTGACTCCGCAGGTCGGCCGCATCATCCCTGGCCGTGCGCACCGCCACGTCCCCTGTAGAATTTGGGGCCCGCGTAGGCCCGCCACGTCCCACGTAGGATTTAGGGGCTGGTGTAGATGCGCCACGTTCCATAGAAATTGCAAGGTCTGTAGACCCCCCAGCTTCCTGCTAGCCCCCCCGTGGAAACTCGGCTTCTTATAGATGTGGGGTCCCCATCGGTCAGTAGCACTCCCTAGAATCCTGGGCCCTGGGACCATCACTTGCTCCTATAGAATTCTGGCCCCCTTTTAAGTCGCCAGAGCTCCTATAGACTGGCTGCTTTACATATGGAATCTTGATGCTGTGTGATCCTTAGCTCCGTGTAGACCCACCATGTGTCAGAATCTGGAGCCTTATACATTCCAAGGGCACCTCATGGGCTTACCTGGACTACTCTGTATTTTAAGTTCTTTAAGGCTTCCGGAGCTTCTTGGGAACCAGGGTCATCCACTCAAGTGTCATAGATCAGAAACCTTGCATAGAATCCAGGCGCCCACGTAGTCCCCAATCGGTGCCTGCTTGCTCTAGGATCCTCACCTCTTAAGAACCTTCTAAACCTTCCCTAACCACCACCACCCCAGAGTCCCCTCTGCTGGACCCTAGGCCTTTTCAGTTGCTTATAGATGCATCTGACAGCTTCAACCTATGATTACCCTTTGTGGCGCCCCCTCACCCTCTATCTCCTAAGCAGCCAACCCCTGCCCCCCTTCCTTGCCAGAATGCTCTCTGAGCCCTAAGCCTCTGCCGAGCAGCCTGAGCAGCAACCTGCACTCCTGCCCAAGTCACAGTGCCCACATACTCCTGACTTTCCCAACACTATAAAGAGACCAGATGTGTTTCAGCTTTGGTTCAGATTTTAGCTTCCTAAAGGTTGGGGCGGGGGGTTCCCCATGCTCTGAAGCAGCACATTCTCATCGTTAAAGTGCATAAACGCTGGAACCAGACTGCCAGGATTCAGAACCAGGTCTGAATCCTGGCTCTGTCCCTTGTGAGCTGTGCCTCGATTTCCTCTTCCGTAAAATGAAGATAGTTATAAAACTGACCTCCAGGGTCATTTAGAGGATTAAATGAGCTAATACCTGTAAAGCAGTAATGTTATGCCTGGTGTATGCTTAATGGCACTTAGGTTAAATGAGCTATTATTTTGTGTTTCCATGATGAGAAACAAAGGAGATAATCTGTGTCAAGTGAATGACATGGGACCCGTCTGGCACTGAGCATTTGCGCACATAACGTGTGTCCTCTCCTTTGCCCTTTGTGGAATCTCCCTGCCTCTTTTGAACCTTCCTGCCCACCCACCCCCCACCCCCTGTGGGTTGAGCATGGTCCTTCCATGTGTGTGGTCATGTTTTCCAGCCAAGAAGTTGCAGCTGGTAGCCTGGTAAAAGTTTTCCACCTCGAAAGGGATTTCGAGAATACTAATTGCATGGGTGCTTGTGGTTGTGAGCTTTAAGTGAGTTCATATGTGAGAAGCACTGGGGGCAGTGCCTAGCACAGTGTGCTAGGTAAGTTTAGCTTTTATAATAAATAATCACTTTGCTATTTTTTTTGTGTGTGTTGGTTTGCAAGTTTATTCACGTGAAGATTTAACAGTGCTCAAATCTTAAATTACCCACACTCAAAGTTGGACAGATACACTGTATGGAAGAGAATAAAAATGTGGTGTGCTCTGGGGAACCCGTGGGATGACACTTGGACACTCCAGAAAGCATCATTGTTTCATGATCGTAATCAAAATTGTAGCCACCATTTATTGAGTGTTAGGGAGGAGGCCTCTGGAGGAGGCAGGAGGGTGAGTCTCCAGTGACCAGGGTTATAAATAGCTTTGGACTGTGGGGGAGCTCCCCCACCCCACTCGTCCACCCCACCCCAACTCCACAGCTCCTTCCCGCCTGACACGGGCTCGAGTGGCATTAGTCAGACTAATTAAGGATACAGAAGATGGTGGTGGGAAGATGCAGGGGGAAGCAGAGACTCTAAGGGAGACAAAATGTGAAAACCAAGCAAGAGATGGGAGAGCGAGAGAGATGAGAGACAACACGTGACACAGTGACTCACAAGGACTCAGAGAGGTGGCCGCAGAACCAGATGTGGGAAGAAGACAGGCAGAGACACCGGCTGAGGGGAAAGATACTTACAGAAGCAGGGTTAGGGCGAGGTGGCGAAGGGGGAGGGGAAGCAGAGATGGTGGGAAAGTGAGACTGGTCTGAAGGGAGGGAGGGGGGGAGACTGAGAAGAGAGGCAAAGACCTGAGGCATGTTCAAGGGACGGCCAGCCAGAGAGCTGGCGGGACAGATGGATACAGGGTGAGGGAGGCAGACACACCTGGGGCTGAGCTAGCTGAGGACTGTCCCTTGCTTTCTGGGACTGGAAGCTGGGGAAGATACCAGGTCCCCGAGGGAAAGAAACTTAGGGTCTGGGGAAAGGAGGTTCAGATTTTTGTTTTCTTATGTGGAGAAGGTTGGGGGTTGGAGGATTTGCCATTAGATTTCCTGTCACAGGAAGTGGGGCTGGTGGGTTCAGAGGCAACATCCGGCCCCAGGCCTGTCAGGTTAAGGAGAGCCCCCCCACACCCCACTTATCTCCTTTCTACCTTTCCTTTAACCTTCCCATCTCTATTAGCCTCCAGGCCCTGCCTCCCTAGGATCAATCCTACAGTGCCTCCTCCCTCAGACCCAGGGGCCCAGTCCCCTCCTCCCTCAGACCCAGGGGTCCAGGCCCCCAGCCCCTCCTCCCTCATACCCAGGGGCCCAGTCCCCTCCTCCCTCAGACCCAGGGCTCTTCCCCCAGTCCCCTCCTCCCTCAGACCCAGGGGCCCAGTCCCCTCCTCCCTCAGACCCAGGGGTCCAGGCCCCCAGCCCCTCCTCCCTCAGACCCAGGGGCCCAGTCCCCTCCTCCCTCAGACCCAGGGCTCTTCCCCCAGTCCCCTCCTCCCTCAGACCCAGGGGCCCAGTCCCCTCCTCCCTCAGACCCAGGGGTCCAGGCCCCCAGCCCCTCCTCCCTCATACCCAGGGGTCCTGCCTCCAGCCCCCCCTCCCTCAGACCTCCAGCCCCCTCCTCCCTCAGACCCAGGAGTTCAGGCCCCAGCCCCTCCTCCCTCAGACCCAGGGATCCAGGCCCCCAGCCCCTCCTCCCTCAGACCCAGGGGTCCAGGCCCCCCAGCCCCCTCCTCCCTTAGACCCAGGGATCCAGGCCCTCAGCCCCCTCCTCCTTCAGACCCAGGGGTCTAGGCCCCCAGCCCCCTCCTCCCTCAGACCCCCAGTCCAGGCCCCCTCCCTCCGCCTTCCTCAGAACCAGGGGTCCAGGCCCCCAGTCCTTCCTCTATTAGGGACCTCAAATTATAGGCTCTCCTGGCCAGAGCTCTCTTATGGACCCAGGCTCCTGGGCCTCCACCCCCCCCCCCCAGGGCTCCCTGTCCTTGGGCTCCCCCCGCCCTGACTGGCCTCTGAAGGGCTCTTTGTCGCCACACAGAGGCCCCATTGAGCTGCAGAGGCTGGGATTGGCGGGGAGGCTGTTTACTCACCTTCACACCTGGGCCAGGAATCTGTGAGTAACCTCCCTGTGCCGCTGCCTCCTGCCCCCCCCTAACCATCGCCCCTCCTCTTCCCCAGCCCTGTGGAGCCCATGGAGGCAGACAACGTTGCCCGAGGGCTGGTGAGTGGAGAGAGCCTGGGAGGGGGAGGGGACTGGGGGGCTGCGAGGTGGGTTTGCACCCCGAGCTGAAGCCATCTCACCTCTTCCACAGGCGCCAGGACCACCGCGGCCTGGCCTGGTGCCAGTCAGCATCATTGGGGCTGAGGACGAGGATTTTGAGAATGAGCTGGAGACGGTGAGGGGGAGATGGGGTGGAAAAGCTTCTGTCCCAGTCTCCCTCATCCCAGCCCTCAAGTCCCACCCTCAGTGTCCCCTCCCTCCTTAGGTCCATGTTGGATGCTGCCTCCTGCCTCCTCTTACTTCCCCATTCCTCTTTCTGTTATCTGGGTACCACCATCCTCATCCCCTACTACTTCATCCTCGATGCCCCATTATGACACAGACTCCCACCCTTGGGTACTCTAACCTCGATTTTTATCACCACCCTCCTTAATTACAGCACAGATCCCTCCTCTGTCTCCTAATGCCTGTCCTCATCGCCCACCATTACCACATTAAATCTCATCCACCTTCCCTAACACCAGCCCTGGCCACCACCATGACCGCATAGACACCTCTGCCAGAAAGGAGAAGGGTTGACCCCCATGTCCCTCCTCTGCTCCCCGCTCTCTCACCCCCATCTCCACCCTCAGAATACAGAGGAGCAAAACAGCCAGTTCCAGAGCCTGGAGCAGGTGAAGCGGCGGCCTGCCCACCTCATGGCCCTCTTGCAGCATGTCGCCCTGCAGTTTGAACCAGGACCTCTGGTGAGGGCAGGGCTGGGTGGGCAGAGGGAGGGGTTGGGTTGGGTTGGGTCAGGCCACAGTACGCAGTGACATAGACAATTGAAGACAAGGAAGGGTCCAGAAAACAGATCCAGAACACACAGCGCAAGATCTAGAAATAGAGAGCCAGAATGCTAGCCATGTGGCCTCTGACAAGATTGCAGGTTCCCCGCGTAAATCTCAGTGAGCAGGGAGTGCAGATGGGAGAGTCCACACAGCAGGGTCACGCAGAGAGCAACGGAGAATCCAGAAGCTGGCAGAGAACATGCCCCCCACCCCCCTTCCCTGCCTGTGACTGGGTCACCTGTCAATGACAGCGCCTTCTCCCACTGGTCCCGGAAGTGGAATCTCCTCTGTGGCCTCAGCGGCCGCCACCAGTCATTAATTCAGAGCCAGTGCGTGGGAGGAAGCCACTAGCCTTCCCACGTCTAGGTAGCACGGCAGGCCCTGGCCCAGAAACAAGAAACGCCTGCAAGCAGCCCACAAGGCAGAGCGAACATAACTCCTGACCCACAGATAGCAGGCAGAAATCACCTGGGCCACGGCGGGTGCGGGACCGTGCTGTCCGGAAGCACCTGCAGAGTCTAGGGAGCCCAGCAGGTGACTTAGGAAGGAAGAGGCCGCTGCGCCGGCTGGAGTGGGGTGCTCTGTGGACAAGGAGCTCATCCGAAGAAGAACCCAAGAACACCCTACAACTGGTGCATAGCCCAGAGCACTGGCCTGGCACGTAGCCCAGGGATGGCGCTTCCTGCCGTGTCCTCTGCCAGATGTGGCAACAGGCCTGACAAGGGTCAGGGGCTTGGCCGAGGTGACCCCGATGGCCCCCAGCTTTGGAATCTCTCCTGTGGCCCCCTCACCTCATCAGCTAGGAAACCGTTCGCCTCTCGTGGAGTTTTGTCGTGGAGTCTGGGGCTGTGCCAAGGTTTGTTCTAAGTGTTTACAGCAGAGAATTAGAGTCCTGCCCCCACCGGGCTGAGTCCTTAGCACACAGACCATGTCACTTACCTGTCGAAAGAGCCCAGGAGCCAAGGCAGGTTGGAGTTTGCAGTGCATTGCCGGCATCACCCAGCATGGGGCTGACACGGAGGCAAGCTCAGGGAATGAGTGTGAATGAGCGAGCCCCACTCGTCCACCTGTTTATTTACCCAGCCCCCACTGCACCCAGGCCCTATCTGGGGCACAGATGAGTCGGAACCTCACATGTGTGCGCACACACACACACACAAAAACCTTCACATTGCTCACGGTATTTCTAGGCTGCCTACTGCCTAGATTCTCTCTTTTTATTTTTATTTTTTTGCTGGTAGAAGCTTCTTTGCTTTTTTTTTTCTTTTTGTATACTTTTTTATTGGAGTTCAATTTGCCAACATATAGCATGACACCCAACGCTCATCCCGTCAAGTTGCGCCCCTCAGTGCCCGTCACCCATCGCCCCAACCGCCCCCCCTTTCCACCACCCCTTGGCTGCCTAGATTCTAATCCCTACTTTGCCACTAACTAGCTGTGTGACCTTGGGCAAGCTTCTTGAGCTCAGTTTTCTCATCTGTAACATGGGATGATGATAGTGCCTATGATTGACCAGGTTAATGTGGGTAAAGCGTGTAGAACAGCATCTGGTGCAGGCCTAGCTTTTTTAACAGTAGCTGGCGGTGGCGGTGGTAGCGATGGTGGTGGTAGCCCTCTTAGTGTAGCAGGTGACAGCAGGAGATGGAACCACAGCCATTTCACAGGATAGAAAATGAGCAAATGCTCCCAGTGGTCCCAGGGAGGCCAGGAGAGGCAAGGGCCGGGGTGTGGGGTGGAGATTAGGGAAAGCTTCCCAGAGGATGTGAGCCTCAGGCTTTTCAAGGGAGAGCGTGGTGTGGGAAGGGGGTGGAGAGGACAGGTGACGCTCTGTCCCCTCAGCTCTGCTGCCTGCACGCGGACATGCTGAGTTCCCTGGGCCCCAAGGAGGCCAAGAAGGCCTTCCTCGACTTCTGCCATTGCTTCCTGGACAAGACGGCGGTGAGAGACACCTTCAAGGGGCCCCAGTCGCCCCACTCCTTGGTCCTGGGGAGACTCTGTGCCAACCTGGCCCTCCCTCCACTGCTCCCTCCCCTCAGACCATTCCCAGCTGTGGCCCCAAGAGCCTGTCACTGCCCAGTCCTCCCCTTCACTCCATTCTCTGTCCCAAGCAGGTTTTGCGGGTGCTAGTCCCTCCCGCCGTCGCCTTTGAACTTGGTAAGGAGAGGGAAGGGGACTGTGGGTGAGGGAGACGGGTGAGGGAGAGGTCTCTGGCAGGGGTCAGCTGTCCCCGAGGGCCCCAGGGCGGGAGGTCACACTCTTCTGCTCATGCGGTCTCACTCTCCTGCTCATGCAGACAGCACAGATTCCTTCCCCCCTGGCCATAGCGGCCCAAGGAAGTGTGGCTGTCGCAATCCAAGGGTAGGTGGAACTGGCCCCCAGCCCCCTGCCTGTGTCCCCGCAGACCGCACGCGGCCCGAGGTCATCTCCGAGGACTTGCAGCGGCAGTTTGTACAGGAGGTAGTGCAGAGCCAGCAGGCAGCTGTTAGCCGGCTGCTGGAGGACTTCCGCTCCAAGCGGCTCATGGGCATGACACCCTGGGAGCAGGACCTGACCCAGCTGGAGGCCTGGGTTGGGCGGGACCGTGCCAACTTTGAGGCCCGGGAGCGGCACCTGGCTGAACGGCTGCTGGCCCACCTGGAAGAGATGCAGTGAGTGGGGCCTGCCCCTCCCCAGCCTGTGTCCCTGCAGTGTCAGGGTTCATTCCTTAACATTTGGGCTCTGCCTCTGACTTCTGGGTTTCCCCATTTTAATTTGCCTGGTTTTGTGTTGTCTGTTCTTGGTTTTGGGGAACCCTCCCAGTTTCCAGGTCTTTCTGCGGTCTTGTGTTTGGGCCTGGTGCTTGGGTCCTGTTGCTGCAGCTCCGAGCTGCCTCACAAGAGACACTCCTCCCTACTGTGATCCTCCTTCTCTGTAGCCTTGGTACTCTTCCTCTCTGCCTCTCCTTGCTCCTGTCCATGCTTCTAAGGGGACAGCAACCCGGACATTTGTGCTTAAAGGACAGGGACCCAGGCTTAGCAAGTTTGTCTCTTCCTTATTTTTGCAGACACACCATCTCTAACGATGAGGAAAAGAGGTGATGATGGAAGCAGAGAGGACAGCAGGAGAGGCATTTAGTCCCCTGGGCCCTGGGGAGGAGGATTGGGGATCAGGGTCCTGGGCACGGAACAACATCCTGGTCCTGTCCTCTGGAGCCCTCTCCCCCTTCCTCAGACACTCAGCTGGAAGCGGTTGTGGGGTTGTGGGGGGAGCAAATGAGGAGGGGAAGGCTCAGGAACAGCAGTGTCCCTGCAGCCATAGGCGTGTGTGCGTCCACGCACGTGTTGGGGCCCTCACCGTCCCCTCCCCACAGTGCCGCTGTGGTCAACGCCATCAGCCTGTACATGCGCCACCTTGGGGTGCGGACCAAGAGCGGAGACAAGAAGTCAGGGATGAATTTCTTCCGCAAAAAGGTGCCTCCCTGATCCCCCAAATCTGGCCCCTTTCTCCCCGAGAGACCCTCAGGGAGTCCCGTGACTTGCCCCTGGGGTATGATTCTGCTTTGTTGGGTCTCAGAGATGCTTAGCTCCCTCTCTGCTCTCCCTACTTCCCTCAGGTGATGGGAAATCGGCGGTCAGATGAGCCAACCAAGACCAAAAAAGGCCTGAGCATCTTCCTAGACCCTGCTCGCTGGAACCGGGGAGAGCCTCAGGGTGAGGTGCCCCACCTCAGGACCCCTGCCCCATGACTTCCCCACATAACCCCCGCCTCATTATCCCATCTCTTGTTTCAGCCTCAGATTTCCGACACCTCAAAGTCGAGACTGATGGTAATGGTCCTACCTGAAGCCCGGGTGGCAGTGGGGGGCGGGGGGCTGGAGATTGGGGGGGGCTAGGGGTGGGGGGGAGGGGACAGGGTGTGCTCCTGGGCGGAGGGGAGGATGGGGCTGGGCACAGGCTGCTGTGGATTAGAGTAGCTGGGCTCTCATTTCCCCCTGTTCCCTGGATGTCTCCCTAGCTGAGAAACCAGGCCTTACGGAAAGGAAGGGAGGCCTGGGGGTGCCCTCCCGGGACCGGAATGTTGGGGCTCCTGGGCAGGATGTCCCTGGAGTTTCTCTGCACCCTCTGCCTGGGGACAGCCCTGACCGGGAACCAGGTGAGTTTCTTGCCCCCCACCCCCACCCCAGAGAGACTACCCCTCAGTTCTCCACTTGCCCCTCCCTGTTCCTGGTCACCAGTATTATTATTTTATTTTTTCAAAGATTTTATTTCTTTATCATGAGAGACACAGAGAGAGAGGTATAGACATAGGCAGAGGGAGAAGCAGGCTCCCTGTGGGGACCCTGATGCGGGACTCGATCCCAGGACCCCAGGATCACACCCTGAGCTGAAGGCAGATGCTCAACCACTGAGCCACCCAGCTGTCCTGCGGTCACCAGTATTATTAATAACCACCCCCCTTCCCTCAGTTCATCCATTCCACGGCTTTCCTCTCAAGCTTGAGTCTCTATCCTGGTGATGCATAGTGCACCTCCTTGGACTACATTTCCCATCCGCCCCACGGCATCATTTGCCAGAACCCTCTCTGAGTACATTGTCAGTCACCCCATGGATCTGAGACAGCAGTTGGCCAACCCTGGCCTTGGTTCAAGTCCCAGCTCTGCGGCTTACTTGGGTTATATCTTGGAAGCCCTGCCTGAGCCTCAGTCTTCTCATTCCTAAATGGGGTCTACCCTCTTCCTGCAAGTCCTGGCTTAGGGTTGGGAGAAGGAAGGGACGTGGAGGCATCACCCAGAGCACCCAGTCTGCCCTGGTTCTGTGGCTTCTTCACCCCCATGGCCCCAGCTGCCCATGGCCATGTGCTCTGAGGCCTTTCCGTCGGTTCATCCCCCACCCAAGTGCCAGGCAGCTGCTGGTGTCAGCCAGGCACTGGATGGCTTTAGCCCCCGTCCCCCATTCCCTGGGAGGAAATGGAGGCCCCAGAGTGTGGGTCTTGCCCCTGGGCCCCAGCAGCCAGCCCTGCTCTCCCTCCCCCTCATCCCCACAGGTACTGACACCCCGCCAGAGCTGGGGGACCCACCCCCCCAGGGCCCGGCCAGCCTGGAGCCCCCAGGGCCCTCGGAGAGCACCGAGGAGGGTCCTGACACAGAGAGGTGCCCAGGGCTGGGTGCGGGCGGTGGGGTGCGGGTACTGGGTGCAGAAATGGGCTTATCAGGCTGGGGAGGCGCGTGCCGGGGGTCGCGCTGCCATTTGCTCCTGCTGTCCCTGAGCCATCTCCACTCTGCTCTGCTCCTCCCTCTGTCCATTTTCTGCCTCTTTCCATCCTCCACTTTTCCTTTTCTCATTTTCTCTTCCCTCTTCCTCCTCCTGCACTCTTGGCGCCCTTCTTCACCCCTCCAGGTTTCCATCCCCTCCCCTCCTCTTCTGAGCCACTGCCCTGCCCTGCGCCTTGCTCCTGCCTCCTGGTGCCCTATCTTCCATCCCCCACCCTCTGTGCTCCAAGCCCGGGGGCCCTGTCCTCCTCACAGTTGGGGGGCAGGCTCTGCCCCCTGCCTGTCCTTGTGCCGCAGCTTTGGGGGCCCTTTGGGGGGCGGGGGAGGTGAGTTGGGTTCCATTTGGGTCCTTCTCTGACCCTGTGCCCCTCTCTCCCCAGAAGGTGGAAGAGGTGGGTGCCTGGGCCCTGGGTGGGGGGAGGGCTAGCCCCTCCCCCCATTTCTCCCAGCCCCTCCCCTCTCCCCATGGGCCACCCCCTCCCCTTCACCCTGCAAGGGGTGGGTGGGGACATCACCCTCCCAGCAGAAGAGCTAAGTATTGAAATCTCCTTCCCTCCCTGCTCTGCAGCCCCCCAACCCCGTTGCCTCAGGGAAGGGAGGGGTCAGTCCTGTGCTCCATGCTGGGTTTCCCTCCCCACCCCCAACAAGACTCCCTGTCCCTCCTGACCACCCCCACTGCCCCAGCACCCCGAAATCCCACAGCTCCTTCTGACTCTCTCCTCTCTTCTGTTGCATGTTTGATCTCTGTCCTGGTCTCCCCTACCCTGGTCCCCCGTCTGTCCCCGTCCTGGTCTCTCCCTGTCTGTCCTTGACCTGGTATCTCCCCACCTGTGTCCCTGACCTGGTATCTCCCGGTCTCTGTCCCTCTCCTGGTCTCTCCTCAACTGTCCCTGTCTTGGTCTCTCCCCGTCTCTGTCCCTGTCTTCTGTCTTGGTCTCTGTCTTGGTCTCTCCCTGTCTCTGTCCTTGTCTTGGTCTCTGTCCCTGTCTCTGTCCTGGCCTCTGCCTGACTCTGTCCTTGGCCTCGGGGTCCAGGCTGTCGGGGCGTCTGGGGCGCTCGGAGAGCCTGCGGGTGAGTGACCGCCGCCGGCCTTCCCGGGGCAGCCTCGGGGCTAAGGGCCGGGGTGGGGGCCGCTCCCGGAGTGACGTGGACATGGACCCCAGCTCTGCCACGGCTGTGCTTGGCCCTGCCCGACGAGCCACGTAGGTCATTCCTCCCCCACCTACTGAGGCAGCCTGGAGAGTCAGGAGGATGGTGGGGGAGGGGTTGTTGCCAGATTACAGGGAACTGGGTATTGGATGCTAAGGTCACTGAGGCCACAGGAGAGGGATGGGACTCTTCTTTCCAGAGATTTGGGGACTGCTCTCCAGCATGGGCTACTTTGGAGGTGTCGAATGCCAAGGCCACGGGATTAGGGGGATGGGGTTGACACTAGGAATGGAAGTCTCCTTCCTGGGATGCCCCAAGCTGGGGCCCTAACAAGGCCTCTGTCTCACAGCCCTGAGCCTGGAGACGAAGGGGACCCTGGGCGGTCAGGACTAGAGCTGGAACCAGAAGAGCCCCCTGGCTGGCGGGAGCTCATCCCCCCAGGCACCCTGCACAGCCTGCCTAAGAGCCAGGTGAAGCGGCAGGAGGTCATCAGCGGTGAGTACCACCCACTGCAGCCCACTGTGGCCAGGGACACCACCCAGTGCTGGCAGGGACAGGGAGCTGTCCATCCCCGAGCAGAACTTGAAGGCAGCCAGTTTCCACCGAGGGCCATTTGTTATGTAAACTGTAGAACAGCAACTCACAGAACTGGAATGTGGCTGTCAGTGTCAAAGTGACATTCCCCGCGAATTTTTCATAGTGTAGGGCAATGCTGGTAAGAGCTGGAAAGGGTATATAAAGTTGTATTTCTAGCGTAAATCTTTGTTACCTTATTTGGGTAGTAATAGTCCCTGCCTCAAAAAACTGTCACGAAGCTGAGGTGATTCATGCAAGGCATTTAGCACGCTCCCTGTAGGGCCGGGTAAGAACATTCCAGTGAAACTGTTCTTACTGTGATCTTAACCATTCAGGGGCAAAAAGAGTCCCACGGGAACAAGTTTCGGAAGATAATCAATATATTATCAGTGCTTGCCTCTGGGCGGGTAGATGATGGAAGTATTGTTTCGGCCTTGATTCTCGTCTGTGATTTCGAATTGTGTGTGTGGAGGCCGTTTGGCCAAAGTAGGACACTTTTTTTGGAAGCTGTGGTTTGGGAGTTTATTTACAAGTTGTTTAATAGTAAGAAGGGCACTGATTCGGAATTGTCAGGGCAGTGGGTGAATACTTTTTGTGTCGGATCCTTCTAAGGATATGAGCAAAACAAAACTGTTATCTGGTAGAATTTTCTGGAATGATGAAAACATGCAATATCTGTGCTGTCCAACGTGGTTACCACCAGCCACGTAACGGCCATTGAACACTTGAAATGTGACAATTACGACTGACAACTGAATTTTGTATTTCGTTTCGATTAAAATCTGAAGGCCTGTATGTGGTTAGGGGCTACCGTAGCAGACAGCACAGCCATTTCTCTGATCAGAAAAATATTTGTAACACAGAATTGTGTGTTTGTCTCCAAGCACTCCTGGGGCCCCTGAAACCCAGGCATGTTCCCTCTGGGTGTGTGGGGGGAAATCCCTGGATCCAAGGCTATCAACATGAGTGTAAAGGGTATCATTATTCCAGAAACCAAGGCCGGGAGACTTGCTGGACGCTAAACACACTTGCAGGCTTGCTGGTGGTGGTGCAGCCAACTCACCCCACTTTGCCTGGGACTCTCCCAGTTGAGCACTGAAAATCCCATGTTACGAGAAAGACCTCGGTGCCAGGCACACAGGGACTGTTGGTCACCCCAGCCGACGGCTGCAGCCAAGGAAAACCGGCAGTAGGTTAAGGAATCCTTAGTGGCTATTTCAGGGCTGAACGATTCCATCCAGAGAGAACCATCCCTGTCCCCCATCCCCAGCCTGCCTCTGAAACTGCACCCCATCGTTTGCACCCTCCGCAACCATGCTTTCTGCTCGGTGGCCCCACAGAGCTACTGGTGACAGAGGCTGCCCATGTGCGCATGCTCCGGGTGCTGCATGACCTCTTCTACCAGCCCATGTTGGAAGGGAACTTCTTCTCCATGGAGGATCTACAGAACATCTTCCCCAGCCTGGACGAGCTCATCGAGGTGCATTGTGAGTGCAGGGCCATGGCCCACCGTGTACCCCACCACGGGCTCCCTCCTCCAGGCTTTTGGCGGCTCAGCCTGGAGCCTAGCACCTTCTCCTTGAGTGCCTGCTATGGGCAGCTTCTTTTTTAGCCCTGGGGCAGCCCCAGACCCCCCAGAGCTCACATTCCAGGGGGCACATCAACAAGCTCATGGCACCGGGGTGGGGGTCGCGGGGACAGCCCATTGGCCCCAAGGATCTGACAGGCACACTTGCAGCCCAGCCTCTGCCACCTGCTGGTTAGTTCTACAGACAACCTTGTGGGCCCTGATGGAACACCCCCTTCCCTCATGCTCTCCACAGCCCTGTTCCTTGATCGACTGATGAAGCGGAGGCAGGATAGTGGCTGCCTCATTGAGGAGATCGGAGATGTACTGCTGGCCCGGGTGAGGGCGCCCAGCCCCTGCCCCCACTCAGGTCCCCTCCTCCCAGCCAGGGACCTGGAATCCAGGCCCCCGAAGGCCAGGTGTCAAGCCTCTCCCCGATCAAGACCCAGGGGTCTGGGCCCCTCACCCTGTCCTCCTGTCTAGGCTGCTATTCCCATGTGAGGCCATGTTCTTCCCAATCCCACCTGAGACACCCTCCCTGGCCTGAATCTCGCTGTAGTTTGATGATGCCGAAGGCAAATGGTTCCAGAAAATCTCCTCCCGCTTCTGCAGCCGCCAGTCATTTGCCTTAGAGCAGCTCAAAGCCAAGCAGCGCAAGGATCCTCGGTTCTGTGCCTTTGTGCAGGTAAGGGGGAGGTCTGGGCCCCGGGGTCCCAGGGGAGGAAGGGGCTGGTGTCACAGTCCTAGAGGCGGGCCGGTATGGGCCACCTCAGCACCGCTCTGCCCTCAGGAGGCCGAGAGCCGCCCACGGTGCCGCCGCCTGCAGCTGAAGGATATGATCCCCACGGAGATGCAGCGTCTGACCAAGTACCCCCTGCTCCTGCAGAGCATTGGGCAGAACACAGGTGCCAGCCCCCAGAGCTGCTGGGCCCCGGCTCTCCCATCTCTAACCGTGGCTGTGGGAGCAGGAGCTTCCTGGTTGGGGTTTCACCAGGGCTGGTTTCTCCTTTGCCACAGAAGAGCCAGCAGAACGGGAGAAAGTGGAACTGGCAGCTGAGTGCTGCCGGGAAATTCTGCACCATGTTAACCAAGCCGTGCGTGACATGGAGGACCTGCTGGTAAGTGCTGCCGAAATCCTGGGCCCAGGCTGATGAGGCGTCCACATGCGGAGATTGGCGGGCCCTTGTCTTGTCTACCTTGGGGCCACTTCTCTGGAGGTCAGGCCCGGTCCTCGGCGTGTCCCCCTCAGGGTCACTGTGGATCAGGCCCGGCCCTCGGCGTGTCCCCCTCAGGGTCACTGTGGGTCAGGCCCGGCCCTCGGCGTGTCCCCTGACTCTCCCTTCCCTGCCCCAGCGGCTCAAGGATTATCAGAAGCGCCTGGACTTGTCCCTCCTGCGGCAGAGCAGCGACCCCATGCTAAGCGAGTTCAAGGTGACCCCTGCCTGCCTGACCTCCCCTCCTCTCCCTGGCCTCCGCCTGCCCTCGGCCAGCCCTGACCCTCCTGCCCAGGGAATCTCTGATAATGCACCCAGGGAGTGAGAGCCACCCCTTCGCCCCGAACCCCCTCATTCTCTGTGGCTTGCCCATCCTGACCCCTGCCTACAGTCCTGCCCCCACGGTCAGCCCCACCCGGCTCCACCCTCGCCTGTGCCGACCATGACTCCTTCCTGCCTCCAGAACCTGGATATCACCAAAAAGAAGCTGATCTACGAGGGTCCGCTGACGTGGCGGCTGACAAAGGACAAGGCTGTAGGTTAGCGCTGGGCAGTGAGTGGAGCCTGGGGGTGGGATGCTGGGGGGTGGGGGTGGCTGCTGAGCACAGGCCTTGCTCCGCAGAGGTACACGTGCTGCTGCTGGATGACCTGCTGCTGCTGCTCCAGCGCCAGGACGATCGGCTGCTGCTCAAGTCCCACAGCCGGACGCTGACACCCACACCCGACGGCAAGACCATGCTGCGGCCGGTGCTGCGGCTCACCTCCGCCATAACCCGCGAGGTGGCTACCGGTAAGGCCCTGCCCTGTGGCCCCGGGAGCTTCCCCTGCCCATGGAATGGGAGGTGACCCTCCCAAACGCACACTCTGGCACCGGGAGGTGGCTGCAGAGGCGGAGGAGTGGGAAAATGTGAGAGGGGCCCTGGAGCTGGGCACGGCCGGGGGGCTAGGAGGGTTGTGGATCTTAAGATAGGAGATGGGCAGCCCCCCAGGGGTTTACCCAGAGGAGCAGCCAACCCTGACCTTAGGGGAGCAGGGGTGGAGGCTGGAGCCTAGTGAGGAGGGGCTTGCAGACATGCTGCCAGGAGGCCACACCAGTGGCTCTGGGGTTTTTTTTAGGGAGAGCCAGACTGGGAACCTGCTGACTGATGGATTAGGGGGTGAGAGGGTGAGAGGGAAGCCTCTGGAGGATGCATGAGAGGGATGGGGTGAGCTGGGGGAACCTAAGGCCACCACCATGGGGCTCCCTCAGCTCAGGGGAAGTGCATACCAGGGTGACCCTGGCTCTGAGCCCCCTCTCCCTCCCCTTGCAGATCACAAAGCTTTCTATGTCCTTTTTACCTGGGACCAGGAGGCCCAGATATATGAGCTGGTGGCCCAGACGGTGTCGGAACGGAAGAAGTGAGGGGGGTCTGGGTTCTAAACTCGGGTGGAAGAGGAAGCCCAAGCCCCTGGGGCTCTGGGGTCAGGCCAGGGGTGGGAGGCCCTGGCACAGGATCTGGGGTCTCTGACTGCCTGCCCTGGGGGCTGACCTGTCTCCTCAGCTGGTGTTCCCTCATCACTGAAACTGCTGGATCCTTGAAGGTCCCTGCCCCCGCCTCTCGCCCCAAACCCCGGCCCAGCCCAAGCAGGTGAGGGAGGACATCGGAGGGCTGAGGGGCCAGGGGAGAGTGTGTGTTTCCAGAACCTGAGCTCTGGCCCTGTCTGTGTACGGGTGTGTGTGCAGGTGTGTGCCACTCCACCACAGCTCATCTGGCCCCTGTCCAGGCTCCCCATGTCTCCCATCTCCCAGCTTCAACTTCTGTTTCTGTCTCTGGACAACCACCCCCACCCCATCTCCTTCTGCTGTCCTGCTGCTGCCTCTTGGGGCTGGGGGGGGGGGTCACCCAGTATTTCCTACCCACAGCACCCGAGAACCCCTGCTCAGCAGCTCAGAGAATGGCAATGGTGGTGGCCGAGAGATGCCCCCAGCTGACGGTGAGCCTTTGAGGGGATGCAGAGTGGGGGCAGGGTGTCCCTAGGAGGCCAGGCAGGAACTGAGCACCCTGTCCGCTCCCCTACCTGCCAGGCCAGACGGAGAGAATCCTCAGCACCCTCCTGCCCTACTGCAGGCCCCGCCCTGAGGGCCAGCTTGCTGCCAAGGCCCTTGAGAAAGGTAGGTTGGCACTGCCCACGAGGGGCTGCTACTCCCCTCCTGCCCCGGCCCTGCGCCGTACCAGGTCTGCACCCGCCTGCACCCTCGTGGCCCTGACCCCTCTTCTCCTGCAGCCTTTGGCCTTCCCTTGATGCCCTCCATCCTCCGTGCCCCCCCACCTCTCCTCTGCACCCCCTTCCCATCCCCCAGCCCTACCTTCAACCTGGCTCCCACCTTTCCCTCCCGGTCCCCTGCAGCAACCCCCCTTCCAGCCCTGCTTCTCACTCTGTCCCCTTGTCCCTGCCAGTGCTGTCCCTGAAGCAGCTCCTGTTTCCCTCGGAGGAAGACAGTGGGGCAGGGCCTCCCCAGGAAGGGGATGGGGTCCCTGGGGGTGGCCCCCTGAGCCCGACACAGACCCACACCCAGGAAATTCGGGAAAAGCTGCTCAGCCTGGAGGAGACCATGAAACAGCTGGAGGTGGTGGCCTGGGAGAGAGGGGCAGGGCAGAGGGGAGGATGGGGCTGATTTGGAAGACGGACCCCTTTCATGGAGGACTCCCCCACCAGGAGGTGGAGGAGGAATTTTGTCACCTGCGACTCCTCCTGTCTCAGCTTGGGGAGAACAGCACCCCCCAGCCTGGGTGTACCTGAGGCTCCTTGGGCCAGGCAGGTAAGAACCAGAGGGCCCTAAGCTCTGCCCGGAGGGGAGGGACTGGAGTGGGCATCTCAGGGGCTCCCTTCACAGCCCCAGAGTGCTCGCTCCCCCCCTCTTAGCCTCTCTGCATCTCAGGGTTCCACCTCCCAGTATGTCTCCTCCTTTGGCTCTTCTGTGCCCTCTCTGCCTGGTCCTCCCCCTCTCCTCCTCCTCCCTCCCCCCTTCCCTGTTTCTCTTCATCTCTCCCCATCTCCTTTCTCCTACATCCCCCAGGCCTTTTGCAAGACTGAGGGCCACCCGCCGCCACCGCACAGCACAGCTGCCGCAGCATCTCCAACCCCAAGGGTCCGAGGAGAGGGAACCGGGCTGCCAGGGGGGCCATGCCTGGGGGGGCCCAGCTGGGATCACTGCCTCCCCCAACTTCCCATTGGCCTTGGCCTTCTCTCTCTCCTGCCTTCTGCTTGGGGGACTCAGGGCTTCATTCCGGCAGGGGGGAACCACAGTGACCCTCTCCCATTCCCCAGGCCATCTCAGTAGTGCCTGGGGGGGGCACCCCTCCATTCCCCACCCCCAAGTGCCTTTGCTCTGTTTTTACACCCTGAATTGGAGGTTTATTTTTTAATATATATTATCTAAGGAGAGGTCTGTGTTTGTGAGGATGGGGTAAGGGCCCTGGAGTGGCTTCTGGAATCCTTGGTGACTCTCTGGCATCACCTTTCTGGGTCTATCCCCCCTGCCTTTCTCCAGTTCTCCCTTCCTTCCTTCCTGTGCTTTGACAGTGACACCCCAGGTGACCTCCCTCCCTCCCTCCCCTGCATCCCAAGCCCCCACTGTCACCCATGACGCCGGGCTCCCCCATGGCTCACACTCCTTTCCGCTCTTTTATTTTTGTAGTAAACTCTCTGGAGGTGGCTGGTGGGGGTGGTGGAGAGCTGGTGGGGAGGGGGCCCTCCTGGGCGGGGGCTGGGGGCGGGGTTATTGCTCTGAGCTCCCTGTCCCCAGGGGGCCTGTGTGGGGAGGGTGTCAGGACTGGGGCCGGCACAAGGGGAGACACAGCCGCACAAACACGCAGGTCACAGCACGGGGGGTGGGCAGGAGAGGCTGGGCGCCATATTGCACTTTGGGAGTGGGGCCAGGCGGGGACCCCCCTCAAACTGGAGCCTGGGAAGGAGGCTGGAGGCCATCACGTTCCCTCCCCCTCTGGAGAGGGAGGTGAGCACCCCCAACCTGGGGTTAGGGAAGGAGGTGGGCAGCCACGTGCCTGGTCCTGGGAGGGGCCAAGGGCTGGTCCTGGCCTGGACGGTGAGGGCAGACCAGGCCAGAGGCCACGGCAGAGGCTGCGCGCGGGCGGCCGCCCCGGTGCCCCACACTGGTTCAGCTGCCGAGCCCCCCTTTGCTCGCCTTGGCCTTGGGGGGCACGGGGAGGCCTTCGTCGCCCTCGCTGTCAGAGCTGCAGCCGCTGACGTCAGTGATCTCCAGCTCCGAGTCGCTGTCATCCTTCCCACCCAGCGCAGCCTCTGGTCCCCCAGCTCCGGGCAGTGCCAGGCGAGGGGCTGCTGCCAGGCCCGAGGGGCGCTCGGGTCCCAGGCCCTCCCCTGCTGAGGCCAGTAGGGGCGAGGCTGTAGGGCCTCCCCCAGCCCCCGCCCCTGCCGAGGGCAGGTGGCCCAGGGAACTGGCCAGAGGGTTGGGGTAGAAGTGTGGGGGGTACAGAGAGGGGGGCAGCTTGGGGAAGGGGCCGGTGAGGTACGGATTAAAATTCCAGGGGTACTCCGGGAAGGCGCGGCCGTAGGGACCCAGCAGGCCAGGGGGCTTGGAATAGCCAGTGGCACCTGGGGAGCATGGGGTGCGTCAGGCTGGGCACAGCACACCTCCACCCTGGGGCTGCCTCCCATGGATTCGCACAGCCTGTACCTTGTCCCGGCACCTTCCACCTGGGTCTGCCCCTTATCTCTCCCACGCAGCATCCGCCCACCACCCACGCTATGTGGTTTCCCCCACTTCTGCCCTGGTGTCCCCAGTCCTCTGGCACCCTGAAAGCTCTCCTCCCTGCCTCTCCCTAAACCCTCCTGTGGCTTTTAAACACACACACACACACACACACACACACACACACACACACACACACACACACAGCCTTGCCCCGGGCCTCCTTCCTGCATCCTGCCTCTCCCCATCTTTTCCCATCCTCTTCCCTCCGACACAGCAGTGTGCCTCCCCCCCCCAGTCAGCCCCAGCATCCCCACCTGCAGGTCCTTACCGGAGCCCAGGAACGGGAAAGGGCTGTCCAGACGCAGCTTGTCTGGCTCGGGTGTGAACAGGGGTGCCCGGGCCCCTGGCTCTCCCAGGCGAGGGGCAGAGAACAGGGTCTGCAGGGTCTGGAGAGGGAGGCAGCACCACTCAGACTGGCTACCCTGTCCCCAGGGGGCTGATGGCTGGGGAGGGGACCACCAAACACCCCGTTCTGGGACCCCAGAGTCCTAACTCACCTCGGGGGTAAGGGGAGGAGCATCTGGCCCAGGCGTGCCCGCAAAGGGACCAGGGGTCAGCAAGAGTGGGGAGCCCGTGGTGGCTGCTGCCACATCCAGCAGCGGGTAATTGACAAGTACGACTTTGCTGAAGTTGAACTTGTAGGTGAACCTCTTCCCTTTGGTCTTATGGAGAATCCGCTTGTTGTAGTAGTAGCTGTGGGGAGAGGGAGCAGGAGGGGATGCTGGGGAGGGGCACCGAGGGAGGGAGAGGGAGCCCCTGACTCCTGTTAGTGCACAGAATGCAAGTTTGGGGAAACCGAGGCACACAGGAGTCCCTGAACCCAGGTCACAAGGCAAGGCAGGGGCGCAGCAGGGGCGCCGCAGGGGCTGGGATCCTGACTTCTGGCCCCCTCCTTGCTTCCCTTCCACTCAAGGAATCACACAGTAGCCACCCCACGCAGATCCCTGCGCGTTGGGACCCAAGGGACTCTGCCCCAGCAGACTGAGGGCAAGCACCGCGGGGTGCGGGGTCCAGAGGGACGGTGAGGGGAGAAGGAGCAAGGTGGGGGCCGGCCTCTCCCTGCCCCTCCTCACCGCAGGGCCCGGCTCAGTTTGTCATAATTCATGTGGGGCTTGCACTTGCGGATGCCCCAGAGCCGAGCCACTTCATCGGGGTCCTTGATGACGAATTCCCCGTAGTCCCCCTGCCAGGCGATGACACCCTGGTACTCCTCCTTCTGCAGCAGCTCCAGGATAAAGTGCCACAGCTGGATCTGCCTCGAGCCAGGGGACGACTCCGGCTTGTAGGCCCAATCCGGGAAGGCAAAGCCTGGGGACAGGGGAGTGGCCCCAAGTCAGGACCCCAAGTCAGGGGCACCAGGACCCATGTGGACTTGGGAACCAGGAGACATCCAGTCCTCCCCTGAATCCTGGACTCTGATGAGCAGCTACCCAACCTCAAGCATCTTTAGAGACCCAATTCCTATTCTCTGTACCCTAGCTGGTGTCAGTCCCCAAACTGTCCAAATAGTGGCAGAGAACTCAGTTGTCCAGGGACCCTGGGGTGGCACCTCCAGCCTCATCCTCTACCTTGGCACAACTCTCCCGGGTTTGGCGTCCCGGGATAGAGCGTGGGAGGAACCAGTTTCCTGCAGCCTTGACTGTGGGGAGGAAATGGGAGGAGGCAGCTTATGGGGAAGGGCACCCCCTCTGCATCCATAGCCCTTCTGGGAGGCTGCTGGTCTCTCCTCTCTGGGACACCCCTGACACTTGCTGTCTTCCCCTCTCTGGCCTTTGCCCCCTGCTCACTCTCTCCCCAAAGCCCTCCATGGGCCCAGAAGCCCTCCATGGACCAGGCCAGGCCCATGCCCACATGTCTGCCCCTGTCCACATCCATACACCTTTCACGTCCCGTGTCCCCTCCCTGCGTCTAAGCTACATCAGTCTGAGCACACTGTGCGTAAGCAGATATCCCCAGCATACGTGTCACACAGATGTCCACTCACGTACAAGGGACGCCCAGCCACACCACAGACCACGGATGCACCAGAGTGCTGCACTCCTGCTGGAGCAGAACACCTCATGCACACACACACACACACACAAAAAAAAAAAACACCTCATGCACAATGTGCCTCCACGGCAGACACACCTGATACCCGGCATCACACATCTGTCCCAAAACCCCGTCACACATCCCAGGCCCCTCAAAACTGGGACCCCCTAGCAACACAGCCATGACAGGAGACACACAGGATCGCAAAGGCCCAGATAACAAGGCGCGATGGAGCCGGTGAGTGTGGCATCAAGATGTGTGTCAGCCTGACGGGCACACACAGGGTAACACCATGCCTGTAAAACAGCCTCCCAATCCCACAACACACAGGCGCCCACGCTGCAGGACCCACAGCTCGTTCTGGATTTTGAGCCCTCAAAGGGTGTCCTGTGCCCCATTGGCCAAACACACCAGGAGAGCTGGATGGAAGTGGGAGGGTCTCGCCCACCCCTAAATCTTACCTCCCATCTGGGAGGCCCCAGGTCCTGGGTCCCACTTCTGGGCTACATCCTCTGTCCCCTCTCCCTCAGACACCCGGCCCTACGCATGAGAACAGCAGGCAGGGTGAGCCTGTAAGGAACCAAGGCTGGGGAGAAAGACAACACCGAGCTGGGACACCAGCCACGTGTCTACTTGCTGTGTGGTCCCAGGGCAGCTCCTTGCCCTCCCTGGATTCTTAGAATCTCAGGGGTGGGAGCTGAGAAGCAGCAGGGTCCCATCTGGGGTGCCTGGAGTATCAAGGGGGGTGCTAACGCCTCCCTGCCGAAGGCTCCAAGGCCGGGCAGCTTCCTCCCTGAAAGGAGAACTTTTCTCTCAACCCCATCTTGGGTCTTTCACATTCCAGGTGACAGGACTCCATTAACTTGCGAGCTCTGGCCCAGACCACACCCTAGTGGGGAAGTTAGTGTATCACGGACACACTCAGAAGACCCCAAACACAATAGCACACAACTGGCCATATACGTGCAGATGCACAACCCAACCTGAAACCACCACCTGTCCTCAAATATATTGTACCTGCTAAGACACTAGAGAGGACGCACATTGTGAAAGCCTCCCACATTCAGTCACACTCGGTGACACACGGATGCAAGAAACCCCCTGACACAAACACATACACACACACCCAACACAGAGGCCTAAAGCACACCGAGACCTCCATTCTGGACCAGACACCGACCCAGAAGTAACAGTAGCGGGCTCCCCACCCCACTGAGGCAGGCACAGACTTAGTGACCTGGCACATACCCCCTCCTCCCAATCCTAGAATGTAAACAGGCTCAATATTCTAAAGAAACTCGACCCACCCAGCCCAGAGACACTCAGGTGGCTTCCTGCATCTGTGCAAGCAGGCACGCCAGCTCACACAAAGACAGATGCTGCACAGACATACACTCCCAGTGTGACCCCTTCTTCCAGAAACACAAGTGTGACACAGGGACGCATCGAGACCCCACACATAAGCAGGCACAGAGTCCCAGTCTGCACGCACGCATGTGCATATGTAGACACGTGTGCACGCTCACCACACACACACATACACACACACCATCTGTGGGGCATGTGACTTGGACTCAAATGCACATCCAACCAGTCTTACTGTCCACATCCCCAGCTC